TTCACATCGGGGATGGTGTGTTTGTGATGATACTTTAAGTGAATACTTTTGCAATCACTTACATTTACTTATTTAATTGGCATTACTTTTTAAAAATCCGCTCTTGACATCAAATCGATTTTTTGGGGGGAATTCTTGTCCAAACAGCCAAATTAAATTGACCACGACTCAGTGTTGGAAAACAATAAAAACTTCCAGGAGGGATGGTCTCCAGGTAGACGGTCTGGAGGGCTACCAGTGAAGAACACCTTTGGCATCATTACAGATCATCTTTATTTGCTGCAGCAGCTTTACCGGACCGTCACAACCAACCTGGCTGCTCCTCCGCCGCTGAGTCTCGTCCCTGTTTGCCTCGTCTCCTCCTGTTTCCTCCCCCTCGCTCCTCCTTCGTCTTCGGCCGACACTTCCTGATCTTGCACTTCTTCCTCTGGATGGTTTCAGGACAGGCGCTGCCTCCGAACTGCGGCTCCAGTTTCACCATCCGGGTCCGAATGGTGTGTCCTTTACCGCAGGACTTGTTGCACTCGGACCACTCGGACCACTCGGAGACCATGCAGTCGACGGCTGGGTGGAAGAAGAAGAGAAAACGGAGCGAGTTTATCGGCCTGGATCATATGTTCCCATCAAGTGAAGCTTCAGTTGAGTCAAAGTGATTCTGAGCTTTAAAACGCAGACGCAGATTTACATTTATCTAAACCAGAACACTTTATACCTGGTTCTGGTTGATACATGAACCTGGACAGTTTTTACATTTACAATAAAGTTTATTTTAGTGTGATACCCAAAGGACAGCACTGCATGGTACAATGTGAGACTCAAGTAAAGCCAAACGGCGTCAGGATGCAAACAGGATGCTCTGGTTGTCCTGTAGGACTCAGGAAAAAAATACTTTACAAAACAAAACAGACAAAAAAGTGCCAGAAAAAAATGTCAAAATAAGTGGAGAGTAAGTGGAAATATCTGTAAAGTAATGATGTTTCTGCTGATTTTAATGCAGTAAATCTGTGTAACTTTACAGTAATGTGCTGTCAAGAAAA